TTAATCTGAACAGTGTGGATCATCTCCAATATCTACCTTACAAGGTTGTTGTAAGCAACACACTTTAACAACGAAATACAAAGTATTCAGTCTATGTTTCCTTAGCAAACACACAAAATAGCCCTTTACAGGAAATACTCAATTTGGGACCTCTACCTTTTTTCTTTAACTGCTTTTCCGTTCTCTGAAGCCCTGAGATAAGAGAAGTCTCAAGAACAAAAGAGAGGGCAAAGGGAACCGCTAACCATTTGTGATCCTTTGTTCTGGGAATGAAAAGTCACATAAACCCTGGGGAGTAGGGTAGCAAGCAACTTGGATACCCACCAATAGAACTATCAATATGTACTAATTTGGAGCCCTACCTTACCTTAAGCTAATTTAAATTCACAAGGAATATCCTGAAGCAGTAGATTTGGTCTTCTTTCTAGAATGCCAAAACTATTAGATAAATTTAACCTTTTACAAAACTTATTCTTCTTGAAGCTTCCAAGTTTGTTCCTCTCCCCTCAACCTTTCAAGTAAGCCACACCGGATTCTTCAATTGTCTTCAAGAGATGCCCAAAGTCATAATTACAAGTGACATTTAAACATTACTGCAATGATTCTTCCCTGGGTCAAATTAATCATATAATACTGTTAACTGAAATTTTTGTCACAAGCACATACCATTTAAAAAATATAAACATTTTCCCAGACCTTCACTGTTGTTGACAGGCAAGCGCGCACGCACACTCACACACACACCTCCTGTGTTCACAATTCTGTAGGAAAACGAATAGCTATGTTATTACTCTTGTACACAGTGCTTCCTCTCAAGAGCAGCAAAATCAAACACATGATCTCAGTTTCATCATTGCCTCCTGCTTGATATAGGCAATGAGAGTTCTAGAGGGAGAGAAATTCTCTTTAACCACAGACCAACAATTAAACTCTTCTCTAACCCTGCCTCAAAACAGCAGATTATCTGATTCTGGTGTACAATTTCCAATGTCTTAGCAAGGGCATAATCAGAGGACATCAGTTAAACAAAGCTGCAGAAAAAAAAATCAGTGTGCTAGGAGTTATTTTGAGAGATGGAAAGGAACACCTGCATGAATTGTTATTGCACTTAATATAAACCATATTTTACATCCAAGAAAAGAAATGCAAAAATTTTAATGCCTCCTCACTAAGAGTCTTCTCTCCAGAAAGAACCACTGGCCCTTTGTATTCACCAGAGAGATGCCAACCACATGAAATGTCTATTTAGAGCCTTGAAGCTAAATCCCAACCTCCAGTTCTATTCCAGTCATTGAGAATCACTAGAAAATGTCTTTTGCTTTTCAGACATTTGATTTGCTACCAACATTCAATACACTTCCTCTGCAGTTTGTACCATCTAGTCATCTCTCTCTGACCTGATTCTTCATTGCTGGGTTTACTGACCACCAGGACATTTCTCCCACCTTCAAAAACAAGACTCCATCTAACTCACAGCCAAGGACAGCACTTGGGGACACTCCTTTGCATTTAACATTCTCTGCCCAGGACAAACATCTATATGTGCACCATGCTCCCTAACAAGCTAGCTGTTAAGCAACCTGAGGGCAGGGACTGTATGAATTTTTATCTTAGTTTCCCAGTCACAATTTCTTACAGACTGCTTGTTTTTTAGTCAATTAGTTGTGTCAGACTCTTAATGACCCCTTTAGGGGATTTCTTGGCAAAGAAACTGGAGTGTTTTTGCCATTTTTTCCTTCAGCTCACTTTACAGATAAGGAAACTAAGGCAAACAGGGACTTGCCCAGGGTCATCCAAGTAATACAAGTCTGAGGCCAGATTTGAACTCAGGTCCTCCTGACTCCAGGCCCAGCACTCAATTCACTGTGCAGCCTATTCTGCAGGTGCTTAACAAGTTGAATTTAACCCACATGTTAAACTTACTTGTACTAAATACATTGTAAACATTTTTCCTTTTCCTGGAATGCCAAACAATAAAAGGTTCACTAGGAACAAGTATTTCTACTTTTAAGAGTGCTAATTTGTATTTGATGCTCTAAAAACTGAAATTTATTTAATTTTAGAATTTCCACCTCAGAACTGATTGCTTCAATGTAAGTTAATGTTATTAATATAGCCAATGTACTTATTCAGGAGGAAGCTTTCAAAGGATTAAATAGAAGGAGGTTATTATAGATATACTTTTTATAGAAAGGCTGCATCTATGATGTCAAAACAAGTCAGGCAATTCTAATCTGAGTGGAGCCCTGCCCACAGACTTATTTACATGACTTTGGGAAAGAACTACTCTAAAGGAAAGAGAAAAGTTGCCTCCACTAGTAAAGAGAAATAAACAGTCTATTCTAAGTTTCCAGGAAAATGTGGCAACTACTATTAGGAGGAAACATGAGCAAAGGTTCTGAGCTCCTTAATGTGCACATCTTATACTTTAACGAGCTGAGTGTACCTCTTAAATATGCAAACATCTCCATGCTTTTACTGAGATAATTAACAAGCTTATTTTTCATCTTACAATAGCTTAAATAATGGAATGCTAGTAATATTAAGTTATTTCACTGTTAAGTGTTTACAAAATACTATCTGTACATAGCAACTTCTCTTCTGAATAAAATACCATTCCTGAGATGGGAAAAAAATAGTATGAAAAAGCTTAGTACCCCTGCACTCAAACTGGCAAAATTCACATAAATGAGTAAAATCTAAAATAAAACTCTTTTGCAAAGAACCGACCCTCTATCCAACCTAAGGAAGTCATCCATTTTGCGTTGGTTTCTCGAGTGTCTATTGGTTTTGCTGAGCCACATATTACAAGCACACAACATTCTAAACAATTTAAAGGCCGGTCCATTTTGACTATGTAAAAGGTCTGCCTCAAGGAAAATTGAAGGAAAACTCTAGTACTTGCTGAGCAAGCATTTTCTTTGAATTTCCAGACATATCTAAATGGCTAAAAAGGGTTTTAAAAAGAAACCGCCACAAAAACTTACTAAACTTCATCATTGAGTCTTCCTACCTGGGTAGTGAGCCACTGCCTAAATGCTAAGCCTATTGTGCTTAAGCAATGATTTGTTTACCAATTTCAAGCATATGCTACGGGTTATTTAAATATTCAGTGTGCCCGCCCCTTCCTTAGTACCTAAGCATTAAGGAAATACTAGTTTATTACATTTATTTAAATGACCAACTCCTGCTAAATGTGACGGGACAAGCTTTGCAATGACAAATTTTCTAAATGACAAGCAAGGAAATGTAAAACGTGGCTTCCAATGGCAATAAAAAAACTGTATGAATAAATGAAACATTAAGTAAAGGCAAAGGAATCATAATTTAATAGATTCATAGGTTAACTATGACTCTAATTTTTATGGCTATAACTCATGAAAGTATCACATTAAGACCTTTTAATCGGCAAAGTAAATACTGTGAAGTTTCTTTTTGAAGAGCAACCCGCCACCTAAGAAATGAACAGGAAAAAGGATGAATTCTTCTGTCTTTTCAATTTCTTTCATTTATTCAATTTCAACTTCAGATAATTTTCACTGCCAAATTATTTAAACAGATTCTTTGCTCATCACAGAATGCAGTTTGCTTTCATCAGTTTCTGGTTAAGGGAAAACTGCAATTTCACATAAGCAAAGAACTACACTAAACACTCATAAAAATGGGAAAATCTTATCTTGTAAAATATCCGTAACAAACATCAAGACAAAGAGCTCCCACCTAACAGTAGCAATATGTCAAGAACACTTCAGGGCACACAGACACATTCACTTAGGTGGGTTTTTTGGTTGCTGTTTAAAAAGAAAGCTACTAGAAGGAAAACAAAATTTCATTTTGGTTATTTACATGTAAGTCATTTGTCCCAAAAGAGATGGGAATTTTCATGCCACATAGTTCATGCTTACTTTCTCCTCTCAGCCCCAGTATCATTCACGTTACAAAGTATCTTTTAACAGGACAGCAGATAAGCACTCTAGAGGAAACTTAGCTAAGCTTAGTTACTTAGTGCCAAGAGCTCTTCGAAAGTCTGGATAAAATGTTAGCCTGATTTCATCCGCCCTGAATCTCAGACTGCTTTACTGAAACGATCCGCAGCTTTCCCTTACATCGATCTCCAATCAATCACGTTACCTAAAAATCCTTCAGTCAGCCAAAACTGGTGCATTTTAGCCCTCAATTACTGGGGGGAGGGGGGCCGGAGAATCTCCTTTCCCCCCCTTAAACAAATGGAATCTTTCTCCCTCCTTGGTTCAGGTCTTATGCCAGAAAGTGAAATAAGTGCCTACTTACTTAACAGAATTGTATTTTTTTTTTTAAATCGGGGAGTGGGGAGAGAAGGTGAAGTCATTTAAGTCCAGGGCTCTTGAGCTATAAACTTTAGAAAGAAGATTCTCCAGGACTAAGGTCTTCGGGGGGAGGGAGGGAAAGAGGGTAGGTAGTCTGGACAAAAGCCCGCAAACCTAGAAACCCAGTGAACCAAGCACCCCACAAAACGGCTTTTGTGGAGGCCACTATGAGAAACCCGATGCTCTCCCCAGCAGAAAGGGACGGAACACGCCGTCCTGCGGGTTTGGACGAGCCCTGCCAAGCTCAAAGAAAAGTCTGCAGAGACCGGCCAGGCTTTGGGGCGGCCAAGGGAGAGTGTGCGGTGGTGGGGGTGCGGGAGGGGGGAGAAGGAGTTACTCCACAGCTCGGTTTCTAATTCGGAGCAAGGGGCCGGGGGAGCGAAAGCAAGGACTGGGGCTGAGCATCAAGGACGTGTCCGTGCATCCCCTGGATCACCGGCGGGGGCAATGAATGAGGGGCCCCTCGGTAGCGAGGGCTGAGGGCGCTCAGGGTTACGGGGGGCGGGAGCTCTCACTCTTGGCTCCCCTCCCTCCATCTCAGCCTGCAAGGCCACGCGGCCCGGGGTGGCCTGGAGCCCCCCGGGGCAGCGGCGGGCGCGCGTTCACCCTCGTCCACACTCGCCCCCGGCCCCAAGACCCCCGCCGGCAGCTCACCTTCCAGCAACCGTTGAATGATACTGTCGATGTTGAGCTTGTCGATATCCGCCATCGCCTCCTCCTGCGCCCCGGCCCCGGCCCCGGCCCCGGCCGCGGCGGCGGCGCCTCCTCACCGGCCCTCCCCCCACCCCCCGGCCCGGCCCGACCCGGCTCGGCTCCGCCCGGCCCGGCTCGGCCCCAGCAGCAGCAGCAGCAGCAGCAGCAGCGGCGGCGCCGCCGCCTGCCCCCCAGCCCCCGGACTCACGGCCCCGTCCGCCCCTTCCCCACGCTCCAGAGCACAGAGAAGCGGCGGCGGCGGCGCCGGGGGTAGCTGTGGTGGAGACAGCAGTGGAGGAGTCGGCGGCCGGCTCCCTTCCCGTCCCCTCCCTCCCCCCCCCCGGGCTCCCTCTTCCTCCTTCTCTCCCGCAGGAGCCACGAGAGGGACAAAATGGCCGCCGATTCCTCAGCCAGCCTCGGGCGGCGTACGGATACGCGAGAGCAGCGCGGCAGTCCGGCCGGGACCTCTTTATGGGCGCTAGGGCCAAAGGAGAAGGGGGCGGGGACTCGGCGCGCGAGGCAGGAGTGGGCGGGGGGAGTCTGACGCGTCGCTCCGTGCTCCGCGCCGGGTCCTTCCGCGAACCAGGAAACAAATAGCGCCCCGGTTAGGGAGCGATTTCGAAAAGCCGCGCGGACCAGAGAGGAACGTGGGAGGGATGGTGGAGCTGGAGTTGGCTGGACCGGCTCTAGGGCTCCTCTCCCCGACTCTCACGGGCACTTTCAGCCCGGGGCGCACGGGAGCATGCTAGACTGCTGCTGATGCTGCAGTCCAGCCAGGTGTTCCCTCCCCACAGTCCAGAGGTTCCGCTGCACACTCGTGCATGCTTCGGAGCCCCAAGCGCAGCGCATTTGGCCGGAGTCCGGATTAAAGGGGCATGGGGTGGAGTATTTCTCTCGGGGCTTCGGCCTGCCCCTCTCCAGCCCCGCAGCCCTGCTGGGAGTTTCTCCTCTTTTCTGGGGCTTGGACTTTGGGCTGGTACAGAAGAAAAGCAAATGCTTTAAATGCCCCCATTTTGTCCAGGAGAAAGCGAGGCGCGCCAGGGTCCGAGGAGAGGGCGCTGGGAGCGACGGGCAGGGCTTTCTGTCCAGAGCCAGGGGCACGTGGGCGACTAAAGTCGCTTAGCCTGCTGTCTGCCTCTGCCTCAGTTTCATTCTGTCTCTTCGTCTGTTTCTGTCTCTTCCTCTTTATGTCTCTCACTCTCTCTGTCCCCTCCTCCCATTTTCTTTTTCTTCATTCTTTTCCTTACACGTCTTTCCCTTTATTACACTCGTTTGCTCTCTCCTTTTTCCTCCCTCTCTTTCCCCTCCTTCTCTATTCCCTACTTTTTGCTCCCTCTCCTTCCCACTTCTTTTCCCGATCTACTCCATCTTTTAGTGAGTTTCTCCTCTCCTCTCCTCTCCTTTTCTCTCCCCTCCTCCTCTTCTTCTCCTTCTCTCTCTCTCTGCTTCCTTTCCCCTCAGACTCTCCTTTCTTTTTTCCTTTGTATCTGTTTCTCTTCCTCCTTTCCCTCTCAATCTTTCTTTCTTTTCCCCCATCCTAACCCACCTTTTCTCCTCTTGGTAGCCCACCCCTGTGAACTGTCCGTGGGGCAGAGACACCTCATTACTTCCAGGAGTGAGGGAGAGCTCTGAGAAGAGTCTCAAGTATCTCTTGCACCTCTTGATGTCAGTTAAGAGAACTGACCAAATAAATAAAGGGTTACTGAATTCACCTCATTCAATGGGAAGAAAAGTCAAATTCTCTTGCTCCTTCACTGTTCATCCTCCTAAAATTCCCCACTGTTCTCAGACACAGCCTGGGATCAGCCTGGGCTAGGGGGATGGGGGAGGAGGGAGAAGCAGGGAAGGAGGAAGACTTTTATTTGCAGAAAGTAAAAAAGACAGGGCAATGAAGGTTCATTTTCTGAAAAACAAAACAAAACAAAAACCAAAAACCAAATAAATACGGTGGTGCATTAGCGTTCTGACCTGGAAACTGCAGAGTGTTTATATTTGTACAATATAATCTGTGTACATGTTTCACTTTATCTTTAAAGCTTGGAGGTTAAGGGGTTGCAGCCAGGCCCAGCCTCATCACCAGTTGACACCAAAAAAGAATCATTTGCCTTTTTCTCCACTGCCTCATGGTCTTTCTCTGTTACAAGAGAACAATTTAACAGCCCCACAGCCAGCCATTTTTCCATGCAGGGTTTCAAGACATGTTATTGTTTTTCAATGGAGGTTGTATGGGCCTTCCCCCAAACGTTTCCAATGTGCACAGCTGTGCACAGCTGGCTTGTTCTTGCAAGACAGCTCATGTCTGAATGCCATGAATTTAGCACTATACATAGCAAGAAGCCCATAATTTTTGTTGGATGGAGAACTGGGTGCGATCTACCAAATTACAAGGAGTATTAACACGATCCTCCCAAGCCTGCCAAGGTCACCACAAAGGCTTGGCACATTTTGAAGCTTTGAAGCCGGTCTAGTTGTGTAATTTACCTGCAGAAAAAAGATTCTGTGCTCCTTTTGCACTTGGAGAAGTTGATTAACTGGCTGAGGAGTTCAAGACAGACACTACCTCATGGTGAGAGAGCCAAAGAAGCTGCCGAGAACAAAGCTTCCTGGGGATGCTGTTGGCTGGGGGTCTGTAGGGGCAGAGGAGAGAGACGCTCATTGTTTTACATTTTTATGCCAGAACCAACCCTGACCAGGAAAAGAGAAATATTTGATTCAATCTTTAATTAAAAAAAAACCTAATTGACATTTCTTGTGTTTATATACTCTCATTTCTGGACCTAGAGTTCAAATCCTACCTCAGACATTTGCTAACTGTATGACCTGGGGCAAGTCACTGTCTGCCTCAGTTTCCTCACCTATGAAATGGAAATAATAATAGCACACACCCTTCAAGGTTGTTGTCAGGATCAAATGTGATAGTATTTGTAAGCATGTTATATGGATGCTACATACTTAGCTTAGCAAAGTGCTTTTTTCTTTGCATTTGATTCTCATAACAATCCTGGGAGGTAGGTGCTATCACTATCCTCATTTTTACATTAAGGGTCTGAGTTCACACTCCAGGCCCAGCACTCCTCACAGAAGAGAGTAGGGACTGAGTAGGGACTGTTTCTTTTGTCTTTGTGTCTCCAGTACCTGAGCACTTGCCTGGTGCTGTAGGTATAAGAGATACTTAACATCCTTCATTATCATCCTTCATTCTCCTGGAGGACCAAAATGACATCCCTATTCTAGAGTCAAGTTTCAGTGTCCAACTGTGGCTGATCAGCCCAATAGGAGCTCAGATGGCTCTACCACAGGCAGGGCACAGATAGTCCGTGTCAACAGTTGGGGTGTTCTAAATTTGCACATCTAGCCTTTCTTTTGAGCTGCTTCGGTTCTGCTTTGCTCATAGAGCACAGGACCTTGTCTGATGAGGACACGCCATGCTAAGTTGCCTTGTGCCAATGTCTCCCATGTCAGACAATCAATCCCAAAGTTCTTAAGAGACACCTTGAGAGTGTCCTTGTATCACTTTTTCTGACTACCTTGTAAATGCTTGCCCTGTGTGAGTTCTCCATAAAACAGTCTTTTAGGCAAGCGTAGGTTTTGGCATTCCAACAATGTGGCCAGCATTGCTTCAGAGAACACGACTCTGATGGGCTGGCCACATTGTTTGAACAAATGATTGTTAAAGATTGGCTGATCAATTCCCTATTCCTTCTGTGAATGAATGAAAAGCATTTATTAAACACTTGTTATATGCCATTATGTGCAGTATAACCAAAAACAATCAAAAAAAGAAGAAAAAAAAGACAGTTTAGCAGAATCAGTTCACACATCGATTGAATCAGATGACATATGTAGGTTCCTTATTCATAGTCATCCACCTCTGCAAAGAAGGGAGGTAGTTGCATTTTCTTCCTTTCTTCAGGGTCAAGCTTTATCAATATCATTAAGGAGCATATGATTGATCCTTTCTACTGTCATTTTTTCTACTTACAACAGTATTGCCATTGTATCTATTGTTTTCCTGATTCCACTTACAATATGCTGAATCATTTCATCCAAGCCTTCTCATACTTCTCTGAATTCTTTTTCATTTTTATGTCACTGTAATAGCCCTTTACATTCATGGGCCACAATTTGCTTACCCATTCCCCAGTCAATGGTGCCCACTTAGCTTCTAGTTCTCGATTACTGACAAAAAAAAGTGCTCCTGTGGAGATTTTGATGTATATGAGGCCTTTCTGTCTTTAACATGTTTGGGGCATAGGCCCAACATGGCATCTCTGGGTGAAAGGACTAGTTCAATCTTGAATGGACTACTACAGTTTACTGGGGACATGGGGGTAGGAGTGGGAATTTATTTGAAGTTTAAGGCTCAGCTCAAGTGCTATAACCCAGCATGCCCATTCCTGATCCTCCGTGTGGTTAGTTTTTTCCCTGGTGAAAAATTACTTTGTATTTATTTTTGTATGTATTTTCATAGTTATTTGTCTATGTGCATCTAATTCTACCCATTAGAAGGTAAGATCTCTGGTGGCAAAGAATATTTGTATCCCAAGCATCTAGTACAGCCTCAGACAAATAGAAGATGCATAATGAATACTTGGTAAGTGAATAAATGGATGTAGGACCCATAGAGAATTGCTTTTGAGGAGAAAGTGAGGCTTAGTGGATAAAACACTGGATATGGAGTCAGCAAGCCCTGAGTTCAAATCCTGCCTTTGAAACTTAGTACATATGTGAGCATGGGTAAAACATTTAACCTTACTGAGCCTCAGTTTTCCCATCCACAAAATGGGGACAGTAATACCCACAACACCTACCTTGTAAGGTTGTTGTTGGGATGCCACTAGGAATACATATCTCAGGATTTTTGTGAGCACTGAATGAGAATAACACAGATAGGGTACTCTGCAATCCTTGATATGTTTTATAAATGTGATTAGTTATTATTATCACTTATTATTATATTAGCTATTACTGATCTTTGATGCTGTTGTTGCAAGAAAGAATATTTGAAGTAAGTGGGCCACTGGCTGGGCTTTGGATATTATTCTACTGCCTGCAGCTTTTCTTGAGGATTTGCCCTGTAACAG